CACATCTTCCGAAGACGAGGGAAGCCCTGAACAAGTAAGCCACTTGACCCCAATCCATGGACTGCTCAAAACAGCATTCCCTAGCCTCAAGTCCATCCTCTTGCTGGAATTTTACCCCATCTGGCCCCTTCTGTCATGGTCCGAGGTGCACATGACCCTTATGCGACGTGCCAGGCTGAACAGATCGACAGCTGGGTTCTCACACGAGATGAGATGGCAGCCCGCGCCAAAGCCTTCAGGTCTCAGCGGTCGTGACTCGGCACTTTGGAGAATGCAACCACAGATATGAACCTTTGTCTTGTGGCCTCGGGCCACTCGAAGAAGACGGCAAGGGTGCTCGCTTCACGGCACCAAACGAACTTCAGGCGCATCCCAGGAGGATTGCACCCGCTCCCTGAATCGGGCTGCTGCGAAGGCCATCGGCTGGGTGTGCTGGAATGCGGCACCGATCCATATCGCAAACTGTGCCCTGGTCAATACTGCAGTCACGATGGCGCGAATGCCTCACACATGCACGCCCATGGTCGTAGGACACGCATCTGGTCTGTCCATGGGCATGCTGTATGCACATCGACGGGAGCAACTTTCCGAGCCAGATCACATCAAGATGCTGCGGATGTCTGGCGTGGATGGCGAGCCGAGGCCGCGCGGAGCCCGTCCCGTGGGCAAGGGTCCGACGAGGCGCCCTGCTTCCGCTGCGCGCAGCCCGAGCGTGGTGAGCCCTGCTTCTTGGTGCTGGCATCGGCGCTGCATGGAATGCTGTTCCTTGACGGCGTGTATCCTGATACTGAAACTGCGCGTGCATCGCTATTAAGGCAAGTGCTCGCAAGCGCACGATGCCACCGCGACCTACATCCGAATTCGACACGCACCCGGTAGGAGGCATCGATAGGAGGGACTTTCCAGGCCAGAGGGCACTGCAAGAGCACAACGGATATCCGGCGTGGATAGCAAGCCGAGGCCGCGCGGAGCCTGCTCACCACGCAAGGATCCGAGCGTGACGAGCCGTGGAGGCGCTTCTTGGTGCTGGCATCGGCTCTGCGTGGAAAACTAATGCCGTCCGTGACGGTGTGCGTCCTGCATCATGCTGAATGTGCGCGCGTACTGCTGCTGTTGCTCACCTATACACGAATTCGCTGTGTAGCAACACGCACCTGGTAGGAGGCCGCCTCCTGTCGATGGACGGGATTGCGAGGTGTGCCACATCTGTTGGGACCACCTGGCCGCTACCGGTTTGGTGATGCGCACGGGTCTGAGATTCTGCGTCCCGTCTCGTGGATTGGGAAAAGGACAAGGCCGAAGAGGGGTGCCGTTCGCGACGGATGTAGACCGATATAACAGCTGACCCGATGCCGCCTCTGCTGACAGTGTTATCGACCGATACTGTATCGCAGTTAGCATATATTTGTTACTATTTGTTAGCACTTTGCGCTCGGTTATCACTTTGCTTGCGCGAAGCACTCATTCGTGTGATCTCTGCTTTCTCTCCAGCAGCCCTATGTGCTTGACAACGCTCACAGTCCTCAAGTCCACGGTGTTGTATTACATAACGCGATTTAGCAGATGATCTTGTTCTCATTTTAGGACATGTGACGACGCCTTCAGGACATTTTATTGGGCGCTTATTACCCTTGTCCAGTTACCCTCAGTTACCTTGTGCCCATGCATCCACAGCAAGACACGCTTGAGGTACGATTAACTGTTTCCCTCGCGTCGTGTATGCATTAACACCCCCCAGGAGCTGCTGAAGGAAGTCATACGAGCGAAAGGCACACCGGCTGCCGAAGACTGCCTTCTTCATCTACACTACCGACTGCAGACGAAACCATGCTCCACACCGGAAATTGTGCGCTCCCTGCAGGCCCTTGCCATGTATATGCGGCCAAAAGACCTGTATCATATGAATGCGCGAAGCTTGGACGCGCTCGTCCTGTGTATCATCAATCTGGTAGGCCGCGGGCGGCACGGCGTCGACCAAGAACTCGCGGGCGATCTTGAGCTGTGCTTGAAGAAAATATGGCCCGTTTTGTGGGCCTGGCTCAAGGCTATGTTTCACCGCTGCGCCGAAGCGCTCTGCTCAATCGAGATGCGCCTCGCTTACAGGCTGTCGTTTGCTGCCGTGTTGAGCTCGATGGACGGTGTTCAGTGGATGAAGCACCAGCTGCTTCTCCCGACTGAGGATTTCTACGCGGTAGTGATACAAGTGTGGAAACTCGACATAAAGGATCCTATCCTTGCGGTCATGGTTGGCCAGGACGACACCGTCTGCATCGCCTCTGTACTGGACACGTGCTTCATCGTCATGGCGGATGAACAGGAGGAGGCTTGGAATCAGAAGGTGCTGTCCGAGTTTGAAGGTGGCCCCCAGGAGTTCGCGTCGACGCTGCTCGCGCACTGGCAGAACGACTCGCGCGCCAAGCTGCCTAATTTGCACAAGCTCATCTTCGACACCCACGTCATTACCATCGCCATGAGCCATGCATCGGTTGCGGACGCACTCTTACAGCGCAACTGCATCGTCGAGGCAATCAAACATCTGTCGGGGCTTACGAAGCGAACCAAAGACGAGCGCGGACTGGTAGCCCGGGCTATCGAATACTGTCTCTTTAACATATTCAACGCCTTGCAAATGGGCCAGGGAACGCCAAACGTGCTCCAGGGACTCAATTCCCATCTACTGGAATCGGTCGTAGCTTGCGCTCCGTGGTCGGACGAAATTGAACCATCGGTTTTTGCCATGATATCCGAATACATCCCCTCCTATCTGATATATCGCTCTGTGGTCTCGTGTGCGTCCCGCGCATTGCGAAAGGTGTCTGTGCACTCTCAGTCCCAGATGACGGGGATACTCTCGCAATCCTGGATAACTCTCACGAATATGATCAAGAATGCCGTTGCGCTGGCAAAGGCAGCTGTTAACGCAGACCCCGAACATTTGCTCAGAGAACTCTGTAATAATGTGACAGTGAGGCATAAATTTTCCGTTATCATATCGTAGGCTAACAGAAACTCAGTGTCCGGGAGATATTCCGGAGGAGAAGTTCAAGTTATGCTCTGGGTGGTGGGTCTGACTTTAAAATTCGTGAACTAACGAACTGCTGACAACTATACTTGCAGCCGTCATGTTTTCTTCTGCTCAAAAGCTTGTCAGACGCAAAGTTGGAAGTACGGCAATCACAAGGAGGAATGCAAAGTCTATCAAGAGCATCGAAAGAGTGAGTGGTGCTTTACCTCTGCGGCAGCAACATAGCCTAATACCGAATGCATCAGTCGGAAGCTTCTTACCGCTTGGCGAGCCTCGGGATCAGCTGTATATGCGCCGCGTTGTACGGGCCACAATATCGAGCCACAGCGCGGAAATTGCACAATCCCTCGAATCAACAACTGCTCGGCCCTTTATCATCGATATAGACTTTCGCGATTTCCCACCTACCCTTGTTATTCAGTACTCTCAAAGCGACCCTCCTGGCCATCGTTGCATCCACATGACCTCTGCGCCCCCACCAGTCGGCTGGAACGAAGCTTGGAGTAGGGCGAATCTCGATGAGGACTTACTGGTCATTCGCAACACGATACCCGCCGGGAGGTCATTCGTGGTTTTTATTCAAGTCATGCTGGACCATCAGTTTCAGGTCCTGAAGTCTGCTGGACCTCCTGATGGAAGTAACGGCGAGAGGAGCATGGAAGACTCTGAATGCGGTCGGGATGATATTTTCCTTGCTGATCATTCCGAGGACAATGCTCGCGGAGCTCACAAGTGTCAAGAATAGTGGTTAGCCCTCAGTCTGATATTTGCGATCCCTGATACTGCTTGTCGGACGTCGTGTTAGCACCTCAAATGGCGCCATCTCTCTGCAGACTTTGCTCGTGCAAACAACCGGTACCTATTCGTGTGTTCCCTGCCTTGCCAGGCCTTGCCTTTGACTGCCATATATAATTATGTGCTTGACGACATTGACGATCCCACGTATAACTATTAGGAAACGACCGGATACGCTTGACACTCTTGTCCACAACAAGAAGTGTTTGAGGTATGTATAAGTGGCGCTTTCTCTCGCCTCGGGTACAACCTGCGAAGCTTCAACCAAGATAAAATGATGTTTGGCATATCCTAAGTTACTAGTATGGGCTGGACGGGACCAATGGAATCATTGTCGCTATCAAGGCTGGCAGGCCTTTCAATTACACAAGACTCACTCGCGCCGTGTCCGTCTTAAATGCCGGGAGTATGAGGCCTAACACTTGAGGCTCTAATCATAAATAGAGGATATGTTGTATCTGACGCATTAGATTACTATTATTGTTCCATTGCACATCTACTGCATCCTTGAACTATTACTCGCGCCCATAAAAAGTGTATCATGGTGTATCTCGGTAACCGCATGAGATTTTGAGATGATCCAGCTGTGTGATATCGCTATTTTACGACCTGATCACACTCATCTAGATGTTGTAATATAAGAGCTTATGGCCGTTACTGGGACGGGCAGTATAGGGGTCATTGTGATTTTCCACTGCCGCGAGTGATTTTTATCAGCAAGGTAAACTAGAAATAAATAAGATTCAGATTTATCTCTAATGTGAAGCAAACGGACGGGAATTGAGGGATCAATGGTCCGTGCAAAATGCCCAAACAACCGGAATCAGCCACTTTTCAGCCACTTTGCCCAACTTGTGGCGCCAGCTACATCCCTCAATTCTGGATCGTTTCCTTCACTTCGAGTATCAATTTTTCTCGCATTTAAATATAGTTTACATCGTTGGAAACCAGCAAGGTACTATACTAGTGTACAATACAAACTGGAGATGTAAATAATCAGGTCATTCAATAATGCTATCTCACAACTGCCATAATGATCCTAGTATGTTGCATTATTGCTGAGCTACACCAAAATAACAATATAGCGGTTACTTTGTATGGGAGTGAGTAGAATGACTCTGTGAAAGGGCTTGGAAAGGGCTGCGGGAATAATATAGGTAACGGCACCATTGGTTTCCATGGCCGCCTGGCGAAATGGCATCGCGTCTGACTACGATTTCGTTTCTTCGAATCGCCATCAGGAGATCGCAGGTTCGACCCCTGCGGTGGTCACTAGTGCTTGTTTTTATGCTACAATTTTTGTTTAAGAGCTTTTGAAGCGAGGAGGAAAGGAAAAAGAGAGGGAGGAGGAGAACATGCCAGGGTATGATCGTTTTACTGATCCCGGTGGATATTGAACTTATCAAAGCTAGGCTTACTGGTGCGCATAACAACACACATCCAGGTAATTTTTTGTTTAAGAGCTTTTGAAGCAGGGAGGAAAGGGATAGGAGAGGGAGGAGGAGAACATGTTAGGGTATGATCGTTTTATTGATCCCGGTGGATGTCAAACCCTCCAAGTCAAGCAAAAGCTAGGCCTACTGCCACGCATACTAGCCTGCATCCAGGAGGTGGTGCGCATAACGACACACATTCAGGAGCAGACCACAATGGTGCTCGAGATCGAGAATGCACATGTTGCAAGGGGCCCGTCAAGGCATCATCATGCCAGCTGCCACCAATGCGCTGATAAAATACACACAGCAGGCTGGTGTTCGCAGGTGATCATTGTTCACAAAAGAATGAAAAATGCAGTCATGTGCGCCTTGTCGAGGCAACTACAAATATCTAGTAATCTTCGTCGGAAACGCTCAAGATTTGAGAAAGATACAAGTGATTCATTGCGAAATGAACGAAATCACGAAAAAAGCGACCACACCCCCAATTTCGCAAATAGCTGTATGATTCTTTCCAGTCATGCGCAGCCTGGTATATGTGCTGAGACGTTCGTTCATACCATATCTGTTGACCTAGAAGATACAGACGCACATACACAATAAATTCATAAACCTGTGAACACAGCATGTTGAAAGCTTCTATAACTCACGCCTTTTCCGGCAGCTACAAATCTGTCACCTTCGCGGTGGCATGCGACAAGAATCTTAGGCAGACGCCGGCCCGGGAGAATCGGAGGCGCATCGAATACATGTGGGAAGATGTCCATTGCCTTGGCTTGGCCATACAGCCCGACTTGATGTATGCGAGTGATTCACAGGGAAGCGAGCTTCGATCCGAGTGTCATGATCAGCTCATGCACAGCACAATCTGCAGTAATTGTGGACACAAGGAGATGTGCGTGATATGGAGAATCACGGTACCGGTGGGATACTGACGCCACCACGGTCTCCTGCGTGCGGAATATGTGCTGTCTCGGGACCGCACGAAAAGGGTCGCGGCGTCGTCGGATAAAGGCATTGACGGTGCTTGGACGATTTCGGGCAATCCCGAGCCAGCCTTTACCTCGAGATCGTGCTGCACATGGATGGACGAGCGGAGGTTCACTCGAAGAAGCCCTTGAATGATACTGCAAAGATCAGGCAAGTGTGACAGGATTCACGTAGCTTATCATTAACGTGTTCCCTGTCTCACGAAACACATTATCCATGGCCCGCGGGTGCTGATATTTGTCTGCGCATGCGGTAGAGTCTATCAGGTAACTAAAGCCTATCTCCTACGCGCCAAACGTCAGAATGGACGCTCCGAAGCGCACCGTCGCTGGCTGATGCTCGGAAGCATTGCTGCAAAATACGATACCCCGAAAACAAGCCCAGATAACAGCGAAAGGGCGAGGCGGCGTTGAAAATGAAAGCAGCAGCGCATACGCAAAAAATTGTCCTTGGCGAGTGGCCACTGGTCAGAAGCACCGAGAGCTGGGCGTTGCACAAAGTCGTCCATCGAGGAGGCAGCTTACTGTGAGTCTGGACAGCCAAGATCTTAACGCCACAGACAGAAGTAAACAGGCAGATTCGCTCACAAGGCGTTGGAATGCTAGATGCCATGCTGATTGGCTCTGATAGGTCTTTGCGTTTCAGGTTCTCCGCCTGGTGACCTGGGTACGACGCGCCCAAGGAACAGGTCAAGACAATCACATTGCATAGATGACGAGCCGCAATTGAGACCACCTGAGCTATGAGGCTTTTCGCTGGAGTGCAGACGCCCTGAAGGGCGCATTAAACCTAAATAACCTTCATGTACATCGGCAGGATTGGTGTCAAACTGTACAGCGTGAGCTGCCCATGAATTTCAGCGATATGACGTCGAAATTGACGAGCTTACAGGGTCGATAGATGTTGAACTTTTGGGGTAGTTGGTCAGGTTACCTAGAGGCCCTTTCACCGGTGCGAAGCGAGCGAGCGCCGATTTCTTGCGCCTCAAAGTAGAATTCCGAAAGCTGTTTTGAGATCTGGCTCCGAAAAGCCTATTAAGGCCTCGCACTGGCGCATCAACTTCAAGCGCTTTATGGACTGGTGAATGCACGAAGCGCTGCGCGCCGTCAAAAAGTGTCTGTTCATCAACACGGGACGACCGTGTTTGGTCCGAAATCCATGTCACAGAGTGAAGACATCAGTTGAGTTAATTATTCGGTTAGTTCGTGATCTTACCACCTGTTCATTTCGTCGTAATTATCGGAATGAGCCATGGCGGGTGACCTGCGATTCTAGACGGGTGCCATTTTGGGAGAAGGCACCACCTTAGAATGACAGGTTTGAAGGTAAAGGTAACTAAAGCCGATAGATAATGAAGTTGCCTTGAAGGGATCTGCATCGCTTCAACTTGGAGCCCGTCCGCGGGGACAAAACAGCGCCGATTTTGTCAGGAACAGCGCTGAACCAGTATGCCTTCAGTTCCCCAGATACCAGCAACTACTAAGTGAACATCCACTCACGATGGCTCCATGATTCTGCTTGGTCAGGCAAGCGAATAAAGGATGGATCCGGGATCTGGACACCGGAGATACTGGATCTGGTCTCCTCAAATTATGTAAGGCAGACCCGAGATAAAACTACGTACATCGGTTGTGACAGCCCTTGTGTGAAACGCGGGTCGAGCGGGGCGTCGGTGCACAGCATCAACGAAAAGGTTGTATAGCGGCGATTGATGTTATGCAAAGCGAAGAGGCAGACAGTAGTAGCTAGACATGCAGGAAGTGCGAGTAGGAAGGTAACAGGCTAAATGGTGATCGGTTCGAGAGCTGTGCCTAGATCTCGCCACCTTCCTCGATCTAACTGCCACTGACACTGTCACACACATGCGCTAGCTGCAAAGGAGCATGGAGTGCATGCGCACTCCATGGCAGTGATAGCATGAAACAGCGAACGGTATCCTCACTGAATCAAGGCTGTATCCGACCAAGATTAGACCTCGCAGGAAGCCTGTCTGAGTCGCGTTGACGCATGACATTCCAACGCAGCTGGTGCACATATGATGGAATGGCCTAAATGGAACGGCCGTCGCATCCGTATGTACCGCAAGATCGTAATGACTGCTGTCAAAAACTTAATTCGGAATTTTAACAGGACAAGGAGAAACCTCCCCAGTCCACGGCGCACCGGGAGCACCGCTCTTAGCTGGAATTTCCCCGCGTTACAGTGTGTGACGCGCGGTTCTATTTCCAGGAGGGCATATGAAGCATACGCTGCGTATGATTCAGACATCACGGGAGAAATGGCACAGGGTGCAACGCGGCAGGTGGCGATCGGCATAACCTGTTACATATATAAAGGTGGCCACCCAGATAGTATGGCCTGGTAGCTTCAGAGAGAGTTTGAGTTCGTCAAGGGCATATAACCAGGTCGAGAGGCAAAGATAATAGGGCGTAGGCCACGTAGCGAAATGCACGGGCCTCAAAGAATAAGAATGATCCTTGATTGTCGTGGTGACAGAGAATAATGGTGTGACTGTGACAAGAGGACTCTGTTGGTAACAGGAGACAAGGTCATTGCAGTTCCGCCGGGCTTACAAGCTTGTCTGGGCCGCCCTCCCCATTTCTCCCTCGTACCATCACCTCCCTCCGCTCAGAAATGTCGTCCGCCCTAGAGCAATGGCATTCCTCGTCGTCCTCGTCGTCTTCCAAGGCATCGACATCGACCACCCGGAGGTCAAGGAGACGGTTAGTGCACAACCTCTCACCGTGTGGGGCGCAACGTCGTCTAACCATTGGTCATCTATCTCTAGGACAAAATGGTCTCACGAAGACCTTATACTGGGTCTCTCGGTACGCTCCAGTTTGCCAGTTTTTCATTTTCAGGTGTTGACACCCCGCGGTCGCTGAAAAGATACTATCCAACCTCCCGGCCCCACCGGCTCCTGAACTACCTCCATCACCTCCTCTTTCCCGTTCCAACTCGCCCGCGCCAGGCGCCAAACGCAAAGCCACCAATAGCGACGCAGATCGCACCAAACGCCCTCGCACCAGCTCAGTGCCTGATCGGCCACCTCACCACCGCCTTCCGGCAACGCCCACACAGTCCGCCTCTCATTCCCGCTCTGCCAATGCTCAGTTCAATATACGTTCAGAGCCCTCGGAAGATGGCGAAGTTCGCGAGGAGGCGACCGCGTCGTCATCTTCTCACGCGCGTGCCAAATCCCCCGCGCCAGCCTCCGTACTGGCCAGCACGATGCCGATCCGCCGCCCTAGAAGAGAACGTCCCGACAACGCCCACTTTGATGATCTGCACAAGAAGTACTACGAGATAGGCCGCGCTTTCAAGTTCTCCGGTGATGCTCGCTTCTGGTCTACCTATCCGGCACACCATCGGGAGTATCGGCCCTTGCCGAAGCCGCCCCCTCCTAATTCCCCGTATCACAAGTTTGGCGGACTTATTGCCCGCTTAGAGCTTATGGACGCTCTGGTGTGCTTTACCTACTCTCTCTGGAGCAAGGAGTATGCTCGACGAGCCTGCTTCATCGACACATGGCAGACGGCAGCAGCCTTCTTGACGTGGTGTAAGACGAAGTGGCAGTCAGATACCCAGGGCGAGCGGGAGACGGCATTCCAGGGATTGATGTAAGTTCTCATCAGCTTTATCGTGACTCCCATCTTCAACTTCCCTGTCAGCTTGATGATTGAGGGTTTCATCTTGGCGCGCAAGGTCAAATTCCAAGCTCGGCTGGAGAGTGAGCATGTCGACCGCTTATGGAAAACGACGCGAGGCTCCATGCACGCTGCCGCGCGGGAAGAGGGCCTGAAATTATCGGCGGGCTTATTGTCCTCCGGATCCTCACATCTAACG